CAGGCCAATCTCCCGCATGAGCATTGAAGAAAAATATTCAACAAAATACTTACAAACCAAATACAAGAACGCATCAAAGATATCATCCACTATGCCCAAGCAGGCTTCATCCCAGCTATGCAGGGGTGGTTCAATATACGGAAATCCATCATTGTAATCTGCCATATTAAGAAACTGAAAGAAGAAGACCACATGCTAATCTCCTTAGATGCTGAAAAACCATTGGACAAAATCCAACATCCGTTCATGTTTAAACTATTGGAGAGATCAGGGATACAAGGCACACATCTAAACATAGTAAAGGTCAATATACAGCAATCGTATAGCCAACATCAAACTAAACAGAGAGAAACTTAAATCAATCCCACTGAAATCAGGGACAAGGCAAGGCTGCCCACTCTCTCCATATCTCTTCAACATAGTTCTGGATGTTCTTGCTAGACCAATAAGACAGTTGAAGGAGATCAAGGGGATACAAATCAGAAAGAAGAAGTCAAAGTATTACTATTTTCAGAAGATATGATAGAATACCTGAGTGACCCCAAAAATTCTACCAGGGAAATCCTACAGCTGACAAATACCTTCAGCAATGTGGCCGGATACAAAATTAACTCAAAAAAATAAGTAGCCTTCCTGTATACAAAAGACAAAAAGGCTGAGAAAGAAATTAGAGAATCAACACCCTTCACAATAGTCACAAAGGACATAAAGTACCTCGGTGTAGCCCTAAACAAGCAATGTAAAAAAATTCAAGTCTCTGAAGAAAGCATTAGAAGATATCAGAAGATGGAAATATCTCTCATACTCATGGCTTAGCAGGATTAACATAGTAAAGATGGCCATCTTACCAAAAGCAATCTACAGATTCAATGCAATTCCCAGCAAATTACCAACACAATTCTTTACAGACCTGGAAAGAAAAATTCTCAATTTCATATAGCAATAACAAGTCCCAGAATTGCTAAAACAATCCTCTACAATAAAAGATCTTCTGGAGGTATTTCCATCCCTGATCTCAAGCTGTACTATAGAGCAACAGTTATAAAAACTGCATGTTACTGGCACAGAAACACAGTGGTGGATCAATGGAACCAAACAGAAGACCCTGAAATAAACCCACACAAAAATGGGCAACTGATCTTTGATAAAGATGCCAAAACCATACAATGGAAAAAAGACAGTATCTTCAACAAATGGTGCTGGTCTAACTGGATATCTACATGTAGAAAAATGCAAATAGATCCATATTTATCACCCTGTACAAAACTAAAGTTCAAGTGGATCAAAGACCTCAACATAAAACCAGACACATTAAATTGGTTAGAAGAAAACGTTGGAAAGACCCTAGAACTCATTGGTACAGGAGACAACTTCCTGAACAGAACACCAACAGCACAGGCTCTAAGAGCAACAATCAATAGATGGGACCTCGTGAAACTGAAAAGCTTCTGTAAAGCAAAGGACACTGTCATCACAACAAAATGACTGCCTACAGATTGGGAAAGAATCTTCACCAACCCTTTATCTGACAGAGGGCTAATATCCAGTATTTATAAAGAACTAAAGAAGCTGAAAAGCAACAAAGCAAGTAATCCAATTAAAAAATGGGGAACAGAGCTGAACAGAGAATTCTCGATAGACGAATATCGAATGGCAAAGAAACACTTAAAGAAACGCTCAACCTCATTAGTCATCAGGGAAATGCTAATCAAAACGACCCTGAGATTTCACCTTACACCCATCAGAATGGCCAAAATGAAAATCTCAAGTGGCAACACATGCTGGAGAAGTTGTGGAGAAAGGGGAACCCTCCTTCACTGTTGGTGGGAATGTAAACTTGTACAACCACTTTGGAAATCAATCTGGCGCTTTTTCAGAAAGCTAGAAATAGTGCTTCCTCAAGATCCAGCTATACCGCTCCTAGGCATATGTTCAAAAGAGGCTCAAGTACACAAGTCAAGGACATTTGCTCAACCATGTTTGTAGCCGCTTTATTTGTAATAGCCAGAAGCTGGATACAACCCAGATGCCCCTCAACTGAAGAATGGATGTAGAAATTGTGGTACATCTACACAACAGAATATTACTTAGCAAGGAAAAACAAGGAAATCATGAAATATGTAGGTAAATGGTGGGACCTGGAGAGGATCATCCTGAGTGAGCTGTCCCAGAAACCGAAAGACACACACAGTATATAATCACTCATATAGTCATATAATAAACCTACTAAAATCTATACATCTAAAGAAACAAATCAAGAGTGAGAACCATGACTAACATGTTCAATCCCCATTCCAAAAGGCAAAGAGGATAGACATCAGAAGAAGAAAACAGGAAACAAGTTAGGAAACTGTCACAGAGGGCCTCTGAAAGGCTCCGTCCTGTAGACTATCAATACAGATGCTGAGACTTATGGCCAACTGTTGGGCAGAGTGCATGGAATCTTATGAAAAAAGTGAGAAATAGTAAGACTGGAGAGGACAGGAACCCCACAAGGAGAGCAACAGAACCAGAAAATTTGAATACAGGGGTCTTTCCTGAGACTCATACTCCAATTAAGCACCATGCATGGAGATAACCTAGAACCCTGCACAGATGTAGCGCATGGCAGTTTAGTGTCCAAGTGGGTTCCATAGTAATGGGAAAAGGGACTGCCTCTGAGATAAACTGATTGGCCTGCTCTTTGATCACCACCCCCAGAGAGGGGAGCAGCCTAACAGGCCACAGAAGATGACAATGCAGCCACTGCTGATGAGACGTGATAGACTAAGGTTAGAAGGAAGAAAAAGGGGACCTCCACTATTAGTGGACTTGGGGAGGGGCATGGGTAAAAAAGGGGGAGCTAAGATGGAATCAGGAGGGAAGGAGGGATGGGCTTATGGGAGGATACAAAGTAAATAAAGTGTAAAAAAATAAGCCAAACAGAAAAAAATGTTCATGGTAGGTACAGAGCAGTAATAAGTCATGTCATGTGTAAACAACGTCCATGTCATAGGTTATAAGGCCAGACAGTTATTTGTATTTCTATGCATTAAGAGATTTTTTTTTAACTATCTCTGGATTCACAAGTTCTTCTAAAGTTTAAAACAATAATTTCTAGATGCCCTAATGCACAATGAGACCCACTGATCCAAAGGAATGTTTACTTTGGGACAATAAATCTGTGTCAAGCCTAATCTCTCTCTGGTGAGATGTATGTACTTAGCATCTAGAGGCTCACAGAAGTTTTCATTGTAGCTCTAAATTTCTATCAACTATCTAACTTGTTAACTTTAATCATTTAAATCAAAAAAGGACATGTAGAAAATCATCATAAGGCACTATGAAATCATTAATTCATTTCAACAGCAGTAAGTCTTCATAAACATCCTGCAGGAGATCTCCTCAACCAGGACAGGTAAATATGCAAGGATCGATAGCAGTGAAGCCTCTTTCACATCACGCCAGAGTTTTGAGAAATACAGTAAAAGCAGCACTGAAAAACAGGGTGTCAGTTACAGGAAGAAAATCTAGAGGCACAATCGCTGCCTCAGATTTACCTGTAGTGTAGTCTTGGGAAATAGAAAACCTATGTGGCCTTCCAGAAATCCCAGATGTCTCCTGAATCCCTTTCCCTGAATGCCTCCTGACAGAAAAAAAAAAAAAAGAAGTAGCAGGAAAGGGAAATCAAAATGAAGGTTAGTGCATATGGTCAAAATACATGATATATTTGAAGAAATGGCTTTCATGAAATTGTGGTCAATGAGTTAACACCCATAAAAGACTGTAGGGGACAGCAAGATAACTCATATAACAAAGAAACTTTCAAACCTGATTTTGAACCCCAGAAACGAAATGGAAAAAAAGAGTCAGGTCTAAATTGTTCTCTGACCTCCACAAATATGCCGCGTCACATGTGCACCTGTAAATATGCACACACAGACACACTACTGCACACACAGAACACTACTGCACGCTCACAGACACACTACTGCACACACAGACACACTACTGCACGCTCACAGACACACTACTGCACACACAGACACACTATTGCACACTCACAGACACACTATTGCACACTCACAGACACACTACTGCACACACAGACACACTAATGCACAATCACAGACACACTACTGCACACACAGACACACTCATGCACACTCACACCCAAGCAGACAAACGTAAAAAACTAAAATGTAATAAAAATTAAAATGCTTTATGGAAAGTAAAAGAATAAACAGCAGATATGGGCACCACGAAGGAAGGAGGGAAAGAAGGAAGGAAGTAAGGAAGAAAGTAAGGAAGGAAAGAAGGAAGAAAGGAAGGAAGGAAGGAAGGAAGGAAGGAAGGAAGGAAGGAAGGGACGTATTATATAATCTAGAAAAACCAAGAATATACCCTTTCCTAGAGCCTCCAAATTGAAATCAAGTTTTCCATCACCATTGCTATGTTGGGTATCAGAACTCCAATACTGTAAAATGAAAAATGCCTTACATTGAAGCAGCAGAGTTTGTAGTCCTGTGTTAGAGAAGGAACACAAAGATAATACCGAGTTCTTTTTTGCATTTTCATATAAAGTTTATGGGTTGGCTCTTTGTTCACCTCCACCTGAGGGAGGAGCAGCCTTACCAGTTCACAGAGGAAGACAAAGAAGGCAGTCCTGATGAGACCTGATAGAAATAGGGTCAGATGGAAGGGGAGGAGAATCTCCCCTATCATTGTACTGGGAAAGGGGCATAGGAGAAGAAGAGGGAGGAAGGGTGGGATTTGGAAGGGCAGGGGAGGAAGCTACAGCTGACATAAAAAGTGAATAAACTGTAATTAATACAAAAATTTGAAAGAAGACAAAAGAATCATTGAATCCATAATTTAATATAGGGCTCTGTGAACTTTATCATCATGTTTTCAGGCACACCTGCTATCACACAAAAGGGGGAAGTGTGCAGGGCCAGGGCTGTGTGTGGTGCAAGCAGCTGGTGAGACTCTCAGGAGGTTTGTGTTGGAGGCTGAAGCACTGTGGGAGGATAGCTGCGATACTGCATACAGTAGTAAACTGCCAGGTCTTCAGCCTGCACACTGCTGATGCTGAGAGTGAAATCTGTCCCAGAGCCACTGCCTGTGAAGCGATCAGGGACCCCAGTGTACCGGGTGGATGCCCAGTAGACCAGAAGCTTAGGGGATTGCCCTGGTTTCTGCTGGTACCAGGACAATAAGTTCTTTTGGTTGTCACTGTAATAAAGACTCTGACTGGACCTGCAGCTGATGGAGACCTTCTCTCCCTCTGACACAGCCAGGGAGGATGGAGACTGGGTCATCACAATGTCTGCACAGACACCTGCAATCAGAAATACACAATGAACATGCTTATAGACACAAACACAGATTGTAAAAACAGTTGAAATTTGCCATTTAACATATTTTTACTCTCATCTTGTCAAAGTTTTATTATGTAAGAAATACTGAGCCTGGCACACTCTTAAGTTTTTTGTCTACAAAGAAGTGACTCTGCAAAGATTATGTTTTGAGTTTCTTACCAGACACCCAAAGCAGCAGGGATAGGAGGACCTGGGTCTGTGACTTCATCTTGCTCCCCCTGCTGTCTGATGCAGTTCAGTTCTCACTGCAAAGACCTGGTTTATAAATTCTCAGCACCTGGGCTGGGTTGTAGGGGCCTATGCAAAGCAGTCAGCAAATACAAAAGCAAATGCCTGTGCAGTGTCTGTGAGTGTAGCTGGTGTCAATCAACAGTCAAAAATAGTATTAGGGGAAGCATGAGCAATCACTGAAAAAGGTTGCCTTATAGCTCTCAAACAGAAAAGTAGTAGGTGCTCTAACAGCAGATCTGGGTTAATTTAAAATCCAAGACATTTAAATCAATTGACTTCTGTAGAGGTATTAGTAGAGGCATCTCAGATTGACAGTTTTTGGGAAATGATAGGATATGTTTAAAAAAAATCACAACAACAACAACAACAGAAACAGAGTAAGAAAACATGCCATAAAAGAAAGAAGAAAACAGAAGGAAAAAATGAAAGGAAGAAAGAGAATTGAGGCTAAATGTGTTCAATACTACTCATCTCCCAAACCATTATTATACTGAAGGCAGAGAGTAGGGCCTTAGTTTTTTGACTTCCAGTTTCTTAGATAAACTAGGGACTAAGATGCAAAGAACATTCCAGAATTAACTCTGTGGATATCCTGGTGGACATTAATTTAAGACTGAGATCAGAGGAACTTGAATCTCAAAGGAAAGGAAATCCAGCAAAAACTGTCAAGTATCTTCCCCACAGCTTTAGGAAATTAAAAGAGGGGTCTAAATCTGGAGATATGAAAAAGGAAAAAAATAGATTTTTCATGAAGTCATTGCTATAGACCAACACTGCTATGAGTTTTTATTCAGGAAATAAAAATGCTTCTGTAATTTAGAAATTAGCTGTAGTGAAACTGGATTAAGATTTGACTTCCTGAACAGTGGGTCTCTCTGGTAGGGGACAGAGCCACCCTAATCTATATAATAATTTTATAGAAACCAATAGAACACTGCATCAGCGATTGCTGCTATATAAATGGTGAAAAAGAAAAGTTTGTATATGTATAAGAAAATCAATAGCGATAAGAGAAATCACAGAGTCTGCCAGGACTTCATATTATGGAACTCTGAAAATATATTTAAGAAGTAAATTGTAAAGCCAGAATTATGTGTAAAATATAAAAGAAAAACAAATAAATCAAATATCATGGCAAGGAGTGGAGATCCACATCTGTACTCCCAGAACTGAAGAGACAAAAGCAGGAGACTCATGATTTTGAGGCCAGCCTTGGGAACATACCAACTTCTAGGCCAATCTAATCTATACATGGAGGCAATCTCTCAAAAACATGTCTCATTAAGCACCTGGTTACAATGCAGCTCATGGCATTATCTACCCCACACAAATTATTTATCTGATGTTAATGTTTTACCACAATATTATTGAAAAATAAATAATCATTTATCCAATATGCATTTCCTTCTATTTTGAATTAAATATATAATTTTATACATCTATTTTTCAAGTATAAAACGTTAAATAATTTCTGATCAGCACATGCAGATCTCCTCTGTAAACCACTAACACAACATCCTATGAGAGAGGTAGACTGTATGCAGATACAGGAAGTTCCTAATCTCAGGGTCTAGACTATGACAGACAAGGAGCTCTGCTTCAGTATCTACCAAGTTGTCATATGCCTTTGATCTTCACAAAGCTTTACACTTCTCCTTGTGACAGCAGCAGTGAGCTCAGACTCTGCTCTCATGAGGTTAACAGCTGCTCTATCAGATTGGAAAAATGGAGACAGGGATTTTACAAATCCAAAGATTCCATGGGCTTCTCACAGCATGCCAGGGGAGAGTATGTGGTCTAAAGAGATAAAAGTTTCAAATTATATTATACACAATATAAAAAGCCCAACAGTCCTTAGTTACTTATCAAGTTTTCACAGTATGTCCTTGTGCATTGGATTCTATTGCTATTGATTAGAAATGGACTATAAACCTGCTGGCTTAACACAATACTGATCAATATGATTTCACCCTTGTAATCAGGAATTCTGAAGTTGATGTCCTTCAGCTTCCGGAACACAGCACCCTCTTTCATGGACACCACTGTGTATGGAAAACCAGGGAATATCAGTCTCAGATGCAAATTATCCTGAGACAGTACAAGGCTGAACTCGGCTTTTCTGTTCCAGCATTTAGAATCTTTTATTCTCTGGATGCATGACTATGTCTACCCCACAGTATCAGTAACTGAAATAAAAAAAATGACATAGTATTCTTAGTTAAAATCAGCAGCGTGGTACCGAGAATACAAAACTTTATTCCTGCATTCCAGGAATAGGAGGTCATTATACAGAGTGACAGCCATAGACAAAAACTGTTCTGCATAGTGATTTCTCAAGATCCAGCTATACCACTCCCAGGCATATATCCAAAAGATGCTCAAGTACACAACTAGGACATTTGCTCAACCATGTTTGTAGCAACTTTATTTGTTCTATCTTTATTTCCAGACAGAACCTGGAAACAACCCAGATGTCCCTCAGTTGAGGAATGGATACCGAAATTGTGGTACTTTTACACAATGGAATACTACTCAACAATTAAAAACAAGGAAATCATGAAATTTGCAGGCAAATGGTGGGACCTAGAAATGATCATCATGAATGAGGTATCCCAAAAGCAGAAAGACACACATCATATATACTCACTTATATAGACCTATAAGATAGGATAAATATACTGAAATCTATACATGTAAAGAAGCTGAACAAGAAAGAGGACCCTGAGTAAGATGACTAATCGTCACTTAGAAAGACAATTGGTATGGACATTGGATGTAGGAGAAAACAAGTAACTGGACAGGAGCCTACCACAGAGGGCCCCTGAAAGACTCTCCTTAGCAGTCTATCAAAGCAGATATTAAGACTCATAACCAAACCTTCGGCAGAGTGCAGGGAATCATATGAAAGATGGGGGAGTTAGTAAGACATGGAGAGAACAGAAGCTCCACAAGGACCAAATATATCAGGGCACAAGGGTCTTCTATGAGACTGTTTCTCCAGCCAAGGACTATGTATGGATATAACCTAGAATCCCTGCTCAGAAGTAGCCCATGGTAGCTCCGTATCCAAGTGGGTTCTCTGGTAAGGGGAACAGGGAATTTCTGACATGAATTCAATGGCTAGCTCTTCAACACCCCCTGCCCCACCAAGGAAGAATCAGCCTTGCTAGGCCACAAAAGAGGACATTGCAGCCAGTCCTGAAGAGACCTGATAAACTAGGGTCAGAGGGAAGGGGAAGAGGTCCTCCCCTATCAGTGGACTTGGAAAGGGGTAGGGAGGGGTTGAGAGAGGGAGGGTGTGGTTGGGGGGTTTGAAGGAGGGAGATATCGCTGGAATACAAAGTAAATAACCTGTGATTAATATTAAAATATATAAATTATATAAAAAATTGTTCTGCTTTAGGCTCCTAGAGCCCACAGGTACTGCTTCTCTCAGGAGAGCCTACACAGATTCTCTGTATCAGTAGGGGAGGATGAGGTTAGAGAACTCAAAGCATCCTGTCAGAGCTGAGTGTTCTTTGACACCTGTCCCTGGATTTACTAAAGAGAAACCCATTAGTAACCCTTCAGGTTCAACAGCTGTGGACAGCATCCTGGTAGACAAATAGAGATGGTGTGAGGGTCTTCTTTATGACATTTTTATGTCTGTGACTATTTTGGCTGGATGCGTATCTGTACACAATGTATGTATCTGGTGCCAGAGCTATGGATGGTTGTCACCTACCATGTCTGCCGGGAACTGAACAATTAGACAAATCTCTCTCCAACAATGGCCTCTGAGTAAATAGACATGTTGGAGAATGAGGGAGATCCATGAAAAAAATAAAGACCTATGTGCTGCTGAAGCCTCTTACTCAGGAAGAGAAAGACAGTGGGAAGAGGTAGATGTGTAAATGATTCCTAAAGGTTCCTTGTGAGTTGTAAAGCAATGCTTCTTTGAAACTAAGATAGAAAGGAAATTAGTTACACATAAACATAGCTTCATTTGATACAACTAGTAAGAGAAAATCATGGGAACAAGTCAGTGTTTGGAATTAATCTTACCCTCCTCTCTTCTTAGTTCAAGGTTCAGTGGGTATTTCATAATGATGCAAAATCCTATCTTCTCTGTCTTACCTGGAGAGCTGGCAAGCGTCCATTTCCTGAAGAACCACATCAGTGAAAACACCACTTTCAGGTTTATAGGGATGGGCCCTAATCTCTCTTTTTGTTGTGATAAACTACACTGAACAAAGCAAGTCAGGAAATTATGTTCCTTTTTGGGCTCATGGTTTGTCTGGAAACACAGTTCAAGCATACACCCTACTATACTGTGGAAGACAAACTGGAAGGAGCATGCAGCAGCTGCTCACATCACATACACAACTGAGAAGTAGAGTGCAGAATGCTAGAGCTC